TGTGTGTGTGTGTGTGTCAGTGTGTGTCATAGTGTCGCTTTTGATCCTGTACGCACCCAGCACTGCTTTCTGAGCAGAGGGCAGAGCTCACAGCCTCGCTCTGCTGCATCAACAGGGGCAGGCTAGGGCCTAGGATTTTAGCGATGGCGCCGATGGGTGTTGGGGTTGAAGCTGAAATCATTATCTCTGTTTTTTATTCGGTGTCCTTGCTCTTACTACGAAAGGGCGATAGCCTTGGGATATATCAACAGGACCCTGGACCAAAGATCGTCATTTTTGATACTATTGTAGATTGTATGTAGTGGTTATCTTTTATTGAACTTCTGTTATGGCAGGTAATATTCAGGTTTTTTGGCCTTGAGAGTATCCTGAGTAAATCGAGTGTCTCAACCCATGCATTGTTAGGGCAGATGATGTTGACCTCAATTCAACCACAGAATCCTTGGGTATGTCCCAACAGTGGCCAACACACTACAGCAGGACCTAAGGAGGCCTTCCTCACCACATACTAGACCGCCGAACCTGGTGACACGGGCCATGTCCCCAGATGTCTCTGAGGCTACCAGGCCTCACGTAGCTAGAGAATCTACAGATACATAGTCCTTGCTGCTCAGTGCTACTACTGTAGTGTATGTATACTGAGTAACAACAGGCTCGTGCGGGCTATCAGGCTATCAGCGGCTACCTTCCTCACCGGAATATGACGTACGGGATCATAGCTGTATGATAGCCTGTATTTGGCGTATCTTTCAGTCCAAATACAGCTATAATGACCGTACGTTGAGTGAAGAAGGTAATGGTTAACATAGCAATCAGAACACTGAGATCGTTTGGTTCCTATCCCCCGTTGGTGATTTGAAGAGAATTGAGAGAGGCCCTCCCCATCTTGTGTGAGGAGGACAGGGTCACTGGGATGGGTCAACCTATGGTGGGCCGGTTGCCATGATGCCATTGTGTTGTTCATCTTCATAATTTTAGTGGTCTTTATTAATGCAAATTATGTAAGTTATGCGAGTCTACGAGAATTGGTGTGGTCACTGTGGTGTTTTGGCGAACGCCGAACGGACCAGTGTCATTCTGTCTGTCTATGATGCTAATATCATGCTATCCTCAGGCCATCGATGTGATGGCAGTGGGTTTTGAACCCAGCACCTACATGGTGGTGCTAAAGCGTGAAACCTCCTGAGCAGCGGGTTTGAACCCAGCACCGATGCGGTGCAGCTCAGGCATGAAACCTCCTGAGCTACTAGCCGCAAAAGCTGAAATCTGTGTATGGGTTCCTGCATAATTTCCCAAACAGAAGGGGTCTGAAGGGGTCTGAAGGGCTTTTTGCCAGTTTTGGGAAGAGATGCACACTGCACAGAGAACTTCAAGGAAGGAAAAGGGTCATATGATCAAATGAGAAACGGAAAAGAAAGGGTGGGAGGGGCCCGACGGGCCAATGAATCTGAAACTTGAAAGCACATCTGATTTCACGTGGAAAGTTGTGCTCCACTGTGAAGGAGTTTTCACTCCTCGTGGGACTCGGTGGGAGGACCCAAGGGCCAAGGTTGGAGAAAGAAGAACTTCAAGATGCAACTTGAAGTTCATGCAAGAGCATCAACCCTCACAGGGCCTCACTCCAGCTTGGTGCTTGCTATCAGCCTGCAAAATCCTCAGAGTCTGCAGTGAGCTATCGTCTCATTAAAGCAAAGCAACCAGAAAGCAAAAAATTTAATGGTTATCAACTATGGACTAAGTGCTGTCTTTGTTTGCAAACACCACCACGCCGGGATGTAGGTTGCTTCTTGCTGCACTGTCATGGTGTCATTGGTGTGCATACTATGCATGTTGCATTCGTCAGAATATGAGGCTGAATCTGGATGATCTTTAACCTGTGAGGTGCTCGTACCGCCCAGGGAGGGAAAGTTGGTCCTTGAAGGTTCGAAAATGAGGCCAGTGGTTCAATCATATTCGTCCTCTTCCTAAATCCTGTTCCTTGTGGTGCATGTA